CTATACTGATAGCATGATGTTCATACAATGAATTTCAAGGTATTTTCTGTGAGCTGGATGTAAGGAAATGTTAAAATAGGCATCTGGCAGGTCAAAAGCTGCAAACCAGTCCACAGGATCTAGTAAACGGATTGTAGAAGCTGAGGTTGCCATTCTGAATTTGAAACTGAGGTTGAAGGTGGTGAGGTGATGAAGACGGGGTTGGAGACTCATTCTCTTACTTTGTGAAAAAAGTGGGAGTGGGAACAAAAAGGACCCTGGCTCTGTACTCTAGCAGCACTTTCTTCACTACTCCCACCTGAAAATAGTCTACCTCCTGCTACAACAGTCTCCCGTGAAAAAGGTTCCTGAAGAATATGGGCAGAGGGAAAGGTGGTTGGAAGGGACTAAAACTGGATGCATAGTCCTTGTTTATGACCGAGGACCCACTGGTTCATGGTAATCATACCCCAAGCTTCTTGAAAATGGGAGACATTTGCCATGGTAGAACAAAAAAGATCTTGTGAGGTGCCAGCCAAAGTTCCCAATGTTGGTGTCAAATGTGCTGCTCATTCAAAGCTCCAGACTCAGAAGGCAGCAGAGGGTTGCCTCCAGTGAAATATCTGCCTCTTCCTCAGTGGCTCAGAAGATCTTCGATGGCTGACCAGAACACTGAGTCAAGGAGCACCACTTGAAATACAGCTATTGTGTTGTCTGCTTTCTTTTTTGGAGTTGGGAGAGAGCCCCAAGGAATGCAAAGTTGCCCTGGAATTTTTCAGGGTATGATGTGCCTCATCAGCCACTGCTAAAGAGGTTGTAGCTCTGAAATGGAAGGTCCTCGGTTGTTGCTTGGGCCTTCTAAGAGATTCCTGCAGACTGAAGCCATGACAGTCTTCTGGCAATTGTGTGCACTGCCTTGTCAGATGTGTCCAGTGCAGCCTGCAAGGATATTCTAGCAGTCAATTGGACCTCAGCCAGGAGGGCATTCAATTCTTATTGATACTCCTTGAGTAGCTTATCCACAAAGTTAGTTTGTCCCAGTTGAAGAAATCACTGAGAGCAGAGTTTGGTAATTTGTAACCCACATTTGGAGGCTAGCAGATAAATAGACCTTCCAGCCAAAAAGATCCATTTTTTGAGGATCCTCTTCTCTGGGTGTGGATTTCAGAGGACCTTGCTGCTTTGTCCTCTACTATACAGCTTGCATAACCAGAGAGAGCCAGGGGAAAGATGCTGATAAAAATATTCAAACCCCTTTGCAAGGACTTATCTTTTGTCCACTCTCAGAGTGGAGTCAATGCAGATGTGTGTCAAATGTTTTGACAGGTTCCAGCAGACCATCATTTATCAGCACGACTAATCTCCCTGGAGATGCAGACTGAACTATGTCCAAGAAAGTGTGTTTCTCTTGTACAGTCTCAAGGGGAATATCTAAGATTCTGCCATGTGTTTTATAAAGTCTTAGAAAACTGCAAATTCATCTGCAGAGGCTGATGTAGGTGGGTTCACCACCTCCCACAAAGAAGAGATTATGAAAGCCAGGACTGGGTGCTCCTACTCTGGAGAATGTTGTTCCTCTTGACTCACCTCTTTTTGCCCCTGCAGCAGCCATGGATGAAAGATATTCTGTGGAGACGGACCTTGTTACCTAGGACCTAGGACACAACGGAGGATGTTGGCTTCCTGGAGTAGGGTTGAATATGCCAGGGTGCCCAATATTGCCAGGGCATATATGGGTAATGCTGTGGAAGGTGCCTTGGGGAATATCAGATGGGGTATCTCTATATGGTCCTGATCTTTTTGTAACTCCCTTCATTAACTGTTCCCTGAAATCTCTCCCTGACTCCTACTGAGCTACCCCATGGTGAGATGGAGGACAAGTAGGAGATGATTTCCTGCTGAGTTAAGAGGAAGAGAAGAAAAAGAAATGTCCCCTCTCTAGGGGAAGAGACAGTTGTAACAAGAGTACCCTGCCTGCAAACCAAGGACTGTGATACAGGACACCTCTTTGGCCAGATGTGGATACTCTAAAGCAGTGGTTTTCAAACTTTTTAGAGTGTGTACCCCTTTCCAAATAATGTAGTCTACCATGTACCCTGATCTGAGATAGGGACATAATATGCCTATGATTACATTACCAAGTTTTACTAAATAAAATACATTGTCTGCCATTACAGGACTTTTCTCACATACACCCTGATGAGACCTCACGTAACCTAGCTATATTCACACCCCAGTTTGAAAACCACTGTTCTAAAAGTAAGGGGGGTTGTATTGGTCTCCCTAAGCCTCTCTCCAGTAAAAGTGACTTTGATACCTGAACCACAGACAGATCACTCAGTACTGTGCATTGCTTTTGTGCCAAGGAAGTCTGTACCAACATCTTGGGTTCAGAGAGGTAGTCTGTACTGAGGCGATGGGTACCACCACCACCACCAAGTACCTAGTAGGTGGGGAGGTGCTGGATACAGAGGTACTTGGTGCCTGCATAGGACTGTGGGGCCATGTGGTCCTTCGGCTTAGACGGTGCCACCTGAGCTACCTTAGACATTAGTACTGACTTCAGTCTTACAGAATAGGTCTTTTCAGTCTTACAACGCTTCAATGACTGAGCCCAGAGTGAGTCATGGTGATTTCTGCCTCCTGCTGGGTGTTGAGGAAGGTAACCTGCATCCTGGCTAGTCTTTGGTGTCGTGCTTCTTCCCGCTGCAGTGACATCTATACCAACATAATACTGGATGAGTGAGGTCTCTGATGGGAAGTAGCTCTGAACAGATTCATATCTCACTAGGCCACTTGTTTCAGATGGCAACTTGAAAAGCAGCATTAAAAGTTAATGGCTTCCACTGACATGGAAGGAATCAAAATTGTCCCTTGGGAGAAGGATCTTAAAGCAGTTCACTAGATATTCAATGGTTTGGATATCTTCTCCAGATTTGTATATCAGACCATCCTTCGTTTTCCATTAGTGTAGTAAATGACTGCAATGCCTGTCTGATGTTCTAATGTGGTTTGCTGTGATCCATATCATATGATGCATGGTTTAGCCAGGTGACCATGTCTTGATTCTTGACCCTGCTTATTTCCTTACAGACTTCACACTGCTGTTTGGTGACAGTCTTGAGTTTTTGTGGGTTTTGGCTGCTAACCAGACCCAGACTTAAGGTGGCATCTCAGGGGGATATGGAGATCATCATAACTCTGCAAGTCTGAGTTCATTTATTGTGCAGTGGTATTCTCATATTATTGCTGGCTGAATCTCTTTGGAAGAATGTTAGCAAGATATGCACAAGGACAGGAAACCAGACTGTCCATATAGGTTGACTTCAGAACTACTGTGACAATTCTCATAGCAGTGTTCAATTACATATCAACAACTTTCATATGTACATTACCTGCCCATACTGACATGCAATATTCAGCTGCTGAGAAGACGAAAGCCAAGACGGCTGTCTGCAAGGTGAGAGTGTCTTCTCCACAAGTGGTCTGTGTTAGATATTGGCACTATGTGAGGCTACGAACCAGAACCACTCCAAGGTATCTTGCAATACCAGGGTGCTGAACAAGGGGGACTGACCTTCTGGTTGAGGTTTTGCTGAAGATCTCCATTTGAGGAGGCCTGCATCAACTTCTGCAGCAGGAGAGTTTCAGCATTGCCTCCCTCCCTGTCTGGATGCACTTGGAGAAAACACACAACATCCTGTAACATGTCCTTCCCCCATGATATACGTTCATTGGTATAGCAGGGCCACATGAGGAACAGGTATTAAATCCAAGTGATTTAGCTTCTGCTATGATCTAAGTCCCTGTGGGGAGTGGAGAGTAGAAGCTTTGTTTGTTAGCCTAGACAAGTTACTTTAAAAAAAAAAAAACCACATAAGCCAGTGGGCATAAGGAAGCCTAAACAACTTTTAATTATATATTATACTAATTCTAACAAGTTAAGCTAAATCACACAATGAGCAAGAAAAGCAGACACTGCCAAGGGCTCTGTCTTGCACCCACGGGCAGTAAGAAAAACTGAAGGGCAGGAGAGAGCCCACTCCATCCTTTATGCCCTCAGGTGGCAGGCATAAGAGCACAGGCATAGACCCAACAGACACTGCTAGCCAAAAATAATCCCATTTTGTGCACATCATGAGTGGAATCTGTGTGGACAATTACCCAGAGAAGAATTTAAGTTTAAGTTGTTTTTTGTTGTTGTTTTATTTTTTGTTGTTTGTTTGTTTTTCAAGTATTTCTCCATGTGGTCCAAAATATTTCAACTCAAGAGAATGACACAGGATGGTTACAATATTTATAAGAAAAATGCTAATATATTTCCCCTTGATTTTAGCCATATTATAGACTTTCTGTAAAAGAGGACTACGGATCTCAGGAGAGCAAAACTACGGTAAGTAAAATGCTTCAGAGTGCAAGAACAGTCCACTAGTCTAGTAATACATATAGATGCTCTACCTATGGAAAAGTGATTTAGTAGACAAATTTATTACAAATCTAGTTCATCCACCAAAAGAAGACAATCATGCAAACTCTACAGTTATCTATATGATAAAGCAAAAAAAAATTTAATCTTATCTTAATTTCATAAGCCACAGGTCCTAAAGAAGTTAGCAGGGGTTCAAATACAATTGAAGATTTGTTGAGGAGTCATAGTACCAATGCCACAGTTCACCTATCCTCTGCTGTAAAGCAGGTAGAAAGGTGCAGAGTTTAAACTGATGCTGGATCATTAAAGATGAGCAGTGTGTTGGGAAGCTGTTAAAAAGCTTAAATGAGATTTTTCAGATTTATGCATTTAAAATTTGAATTTCACTTTGTTGGTGAAAAGGGGAGAGCTAGAGGCTCAGTGTAGTTTATGCCTGGATCAAAATGATAAATCTTTGCATGGCTGCCTTTGTTTGGTAAGTCATATATACAAAGGCTCAGGTTGCTTAAAAACAAGAATCTTGGTAATCTTACCCAAAAAATGTCACCTGCCCCCAGCTTATTGCAGGCGTTTCAATTCACGCAAAACCTACCTCATACCTATACTTTTCAGAAGCTCTGTAAAAGTGAATGTCATCTCATCCAAGTCAACTGCTGCAATAAAGATACAGATCCCCCACATGTCCTTTTTCTTTTCACTGTAACCCACCTAGTGAAAGAGAGAACACAGTTTTAGCTTGCTTATGAGTTATCACCTGAGTATTATATACAGAACACTACTCTGCTAAACAAATGCCAGAAAACACCCAAAGCCATGATTTCTAATTACTGGACAAGTCAAGAGTTCCAAATATTTACATCTTCTAGATGAAAGTGCAAAGACATTCCAATACTCATAGCCTTAGAATGGGAATGATGTTTCCATTGAAAAACACAGTGATGTGCTTCAGTCGTGCATAAGCAATACATTTTCATTAAGGCATATTAATACTGTAAGTGCCTCAAACTTTGCAGACAAGACAGATTACACCTTTCAGGACCAGACTATAATCATCTTTTAAAAAAAAAGTCTTAAAGGCTGGCACAAATTCACAAATGAAGGAAATGTATAATTAGACTTGTGTGAAAAGAGGGTGCACAATGTTATTATGCAGCCAATTCTGCTTAGTAGTTGGATATTTAAAACCTTAATTTTTTTTTGGCAATGCAGATACACAATACAGTTTCTTGGGATCTGCCTACTGTCCACTGGATGTTCCTGAATATTCATCCCATTGTACTTTTTATTAGGCCTATTGACAAATTCTCAAGTCATTCCCTATGCAATGTAACTCCCAGTGACAAGCAACAAGCCTGAAGAAGCAGTGCCAACTAAATTCAATGTTTGTTAAGTGTCATTTCTTCCATGGAGCCAGTCCTCTAGCAACCAGCATGCAACTAAAGGTTTGTGTAGCGTTAAAGCCAAAAAATCCCAATATATACCTCCATTCCCAGAACCTCAAATTTAGGGTTAAACTTCCCACAGAAAACTGAGTTTAAAAGTTTTCTACATGTTGGCCAGTCTGACCTAAGCTGTTCGATGATAGCACCTGGGAAATCTGAAGGATGAGGGCTTGACATGTCAATACTTGGCTGTTAGTCAACTCAAAAATTGATTTCAACTAGTAACTGAACATCAACTGCCAACCTAAAGATACTTTAGCATGTGATACTCTACACATATTAAAAATTAGTGTAGCACTCAAGCAATGTTACTGAAGCTACCCTTAAGTTACTACTCAAAATGCATGTCAGCTCATTTGAGTTAGTAATTTACTTTAATTCTTTTAAAAAGAAATTCTACCTAAAAATCAACCCTTCAATAAGAAATCTTAGTTCTACAAACAAGTATTTTAATCCCAAACAATTGTTGTTGCATTACTTTGCCTACTTTCAAAATACAAATTTAACAAATAAAACATGAAAATCATATGGCCTAGATGTCAGGAAAAAGACCTACACGACATTTACACTGTGAATCTTTAAGATTCACAGCTTTGACATTTTAAAATGGTAAGTTTTAGTTTTCTTTTCCCCTTCCAAAAGAAGTTTAACAAAGTTTAAAAATCAATTATCTTCAATTTGTATATAGAATCATGTAAGCTGAAACCAAGTCATAGCCCAGCTGTGTTATGTACTTTACAGACACAGAAGACAGTTGCAAGTAACTGGAGGGGGACAGGTCTTCATTTAAGACACAACAAAACAGTTGGGTGAAGCAAGAGGGAGGAACTAAGGGAAAAAGGGATAAACGTAATAAGCATGTTTTACATACATTAGCTGGTTGTACAATTTGTAAGCGCAGACTCTTGGTTAATGGAGATAAATAAGCAGATCAATAGTAGTAGTCTTCCACTCAACCCCTGACTAGCCATCATTAGCTGGCAGTGTACTGCAGACATCATAGCAAAAGAGATTCTTAAGAAGAAATTTGAAGTATAGGAAGAATTATTATTGGGGGGAGGGGAAGGAGGCAAGTGGCCCTTGCACAAGGGGCAGCATAAAAGAAGTGCAAAGATGACTGTTAATGAAGAGGTCCTTAATTTATTTCCTTTAACATATCAAATACTCATTCCCAAGAGGAGTTATTTCCTCCCATCCCCACTGTTTCCATGATCTGCATTTAAAAAACAAATCAGCATTCAGTTAGCACTACTAGTACCTTGAAATCAAGATCAGTTATGCATCTAAGCAAGAATTGAGAGTGAAACTGACAGACTAAGGTCCCTGTCCTGTAAGAGAACAAACCAATCCAGACTCTCACAAAAAAAAAAAAAAAAAATCTCAACAACTTTATTGGGATTAGAACAGGAGTACTTGTGGCACCTTAGAAACTAACAAATTTATTTGAGCATAAGCTTTCGTTGGCTACAGCCCACTTCATCAGATGCATAGAATGGAACATATAATAAGAAGATATATATACATACAGAGAACATGAAAAAGTGGAAGCAGCCATACCAACTGTAAGAGGCTAATTAATTAAGATGAGCTATTATCAGCAGGAGAAAAAAAAAACTTTTGTAGTGATAATCAAGATGGCCCATTTTAGACAGTTGACAAGAAGGTGTGAGGATACTTAACATGGGGAAATAGATTCAATATGTGTAATGACCCAGCCACTCCCAGTCTCTATTCAAACCCAAGTTAATGGTATCTAGTTTGCATATTAATTCAAGCTCAGCAGTTTCTCGTTGGAGTCTGGTTTTGAAGCTTTTCTGTTGCAAAATTGCCACCTTTAGGTCTGTTACTGAGTGACCAGAGAGGTTGAAATGTTCTCCTACTGGTTTTTGAATGTTATGATTCCTGATGTCAGATTTGTGTCCATTTATTCTTTTACGTAGAGACTGTCCGGTTTGGCCAATGTACATGGCAGAGGGGCATCGCTGGCACATGATGGCATATATCACATTGGTAGATGTGCAGGTGAACAAGCCACTGATGTGGCTAATGTGATTAGGTCCTATGATGGCATCATTTGAATAAATATGTGGACAAAGTTGGCATCGGCCTTTGTTGCAAGGATAGGTTCCTGGGTTAGTGTTTTTGTTATGTGGTGTGTGGCTGCAGGTCAGTATTTGCTTCAGGTTGAGGGGCTGTCTGTAAGTGAGGACTGGTCTGTCTCCCAAGATCTGGGAGAGTGAGGCATCATCTTTCAGGATAGGTTGTAAAAGAAGAGTCCATTAGTATGTATGGCTTTTGCAGGATCAGGGCTTAAAGCTGCAGTGTAGTTGTAGAAGTAAATCCACATCACACGCACTTAAAGATTACCAAGCCATGGCATTAAAACTTGAAACAAAAGATGGAACAGAATGGAGTCCCTGTTTACTAAGTGGGGCTTCAGCATACATAAACTCTGATCAGCATTGGCTTCCCGTGTAGGCTCTTTCAGAGCACATTACTGTAAACTCATTTTAAGGATAGAAACTCAGATAATTTTAATTGCTATCCCTTATTTAGGTTTTATTGCTATTTAGCAAAGATGGCTCCCTAGATGGAGAAAAACCTTACTAAATTAGAGTACCAGAAAGAAAGTCACATGGAGTCTAAAACAGGTGGTTTTAGAATATAAATAAATAACATCTTTCTCCTTGTTGGTTCTTTCCCACTGCACCTAGTAACTGACAGATGGACTATCATGAAGTGGGATCACGGTCACTGTTCTCCCCACACAGTTTTGAGGGCCATTAAGGCACTTAAATAGCAGACAAAAAGCCTTGGATACTCTGCCTCATGAGTAAGGCTAAGATTTTGTCATGGTTACTTTTAGTAAAAGTCATGGACAGGTCATGGGCAATAAACAAAAAATTCATGGAAGCCGTGACCTGTCTGTGACTTTTGCTGCTGCGGCTGCATGGTTTCCCCCACCACATGGGAGCTGTGGGGTTTCCCCTCTGCCCACGCGGCTGGAAGCTGCAGGGTGACCATATTTCCCAGAGAGAAAACGGGACATCCCAGCCACTCGCCTGAGGCGTCCCCCTCTCCCCGTGCAAGGCTGTTGCCTGCCGCTGGAACCCTGAGAAGGGCCCCCTCAGGAGTCTGTCACCTGTCGCTGGAACTTTGCAGGGGGGCCCCTGTCGCTGGAATCCTGCCAGTGTGACCCTGGCTGTCAGCTCCAGAGTCCTCTAGCCCCAGGGCTGAAGAAGAGAATATCAAGGAGGTCTCTGGAAGTCACAGAATCTGTGACTTCCATGACCTCTGTGACATAAACCTAGCCTTACTCATGAGTTTCCAGAATGGTGAATCAGATAAGAGAATGAGAAAGTAACTGGTAATCTGAACCTTGGTTTGGGTAATACTGAACATTTATTTAGTCATTTAGAGTTAAGGAGAATAGTTTCAAGCAGAGTAAAACCAGGAAAAAAATAAACCAAAATCAGTAATTTAAGATTTCATGGCATCAAAGAAGGTAAGGAGGAAGTTGAACCAGGATGAGGAATCTCCTTGAAACAGGGCAGAACTATATCTGATCCAGTACACGTGGACAAGTTCTAGTAGGTAGATAGCAAAATGCCTAAACTTAGATCAAACCAGTAAATCCACTCACAAACTTTATACAATTACTTCTTTTGTAGTTTGACTGCAACCAAGTTTTTATTAAAAATAAACATCTACTTCAAAATGTGCATGCTTCCACTGTCTCAAGACAAACCCAGATGAGAAGATAGTAAACTAAAACTAGCAATGAAATCAAATTGGGGTACTAGCTGCCATACTTTTAAAGTAACCTCATCAACATTTAAAGGAAGATTTAGAACTTGTTTGGAACATCTTACCTAGTAATAAGCAAGTTATAGAACTGTCTAGAAACCTAGAGAGACAAGGTGAGTGAGGTAACACCTTTTATTGGTCGAACTTCTGTTGGTGAAAAAGACAAGCTTTTGAGCTACACAGAACTCTTCTTCAGGTCTGGGAAAGGTACTAAGAGTGTCACAGCTAAATACAAGATTGAACAGATAGTACATATTCTAAGCTAAGAAACCATTCAAGGTGAAATGGCCCATTAACACTCCTGTAGTCATAGGACAAAAAAAGGGGGTTAGTGGGTTACAGATTGTAACATGCCATAAATCCAGTGTCTTTATTAAGACCATGATTTTTAGTGTCTAGCATAGCTATGAATGTAAGCTTCCTAGAGGAGAAAGGAAATTGGATGGAATTATTGGTGAT